TCCCCCTCAGCAGCGTGAGATGATTCAGCAAATGGAGGATCTAGTGGTGCTGGATGCCTTGGTGTATGAGACCACCATTCCCAGATTTGTTCCAAACCATGAATCCATGTGAGGAACTCTTTGAAGCTTTGGTTTTTCCGAGAGATAGAGTCTCGGTGTCTCTTGTCAAATTTCAGCTCCTGGTGTCTCTTCCAACTCGTATCAAAGAGTTTCACCACTTCTTTTCTCAGTACCTTCTTCAGCATAGGATGACGCCTCCTTTTGGATTTCCTCCCAGGTTTGTCATCATCCTCATTGAGAATTTTGTTGGTATGGGAAAAAGGATCTTTATTTTTCAATTTAGTTTCCTCTTCCTTCAGTGCTTCAATCACCGCCTCCTTATTACCCAAGAAGACATTTTTTTGAGGTTGAGGAAGCTCCTTCAAATCCACCTTTATGACACCATCTTCCTTGGCATCATCCGCGACACTTTGTTTTTCCTTTACTTCAAGACTAAAACAATCATCTTTGTGAGAAGACTGTTTTAAAGAATCAAAGACGTTGATGGTAATGGTCTCATCATTCATCCTTAGCTCAAGCTTCCCGTTTTCAACATCAATCAGTGCCCGAGCAGTAGCCAAGAAAGGTCTACCCAGCAAAAGAGGCATCTCAGCTCCCCCTTCCATCTCCAACACTACAAAATCAGCAGGAAAGATGAACTTGTCTACCTTTACAAGAACATCTTCAATAATACCACTAGGCTTCCTGAAAGACTTATCAACAAGTTGAAGAGATGCCAAAGTGGGCTTTAACTCGGTGATCCCCAAGGATTTACAAACTGAAAGGGGCATCAAATTAATGCTAGCCCCAAGATCACATAATGCCCTGCCAATTTTTGTATCCCAAATTTCAATAGAAATTTTAAAACTCCCTGGATCACTGAGTTTGGGTGGGAACTTCTTCTATATGATGGCACTACACTCCTCAGTGAGTGTTATAGTTTGGTATTCCTGCAGCTTGTGTTTTTCTGATAACAAGTCCTTCATGAACTTGGCATAATTAGGCATGCAAGCCAAGGCTTCAGCAAATGGGAGATTGATATGAAGCTTTTTGAATATATCAAGGAACCTGACATATTTTTTCTTCTGAGCATCCTTCTTGAACCTTTCAGGATAGGGTGCCATGGCTCTCACATATTCGAGACTTAGCTCAAACTTCTTCTTTTCAACCGGCTTCTCCACTTCAGCAGGTTTTTCAATTTCTTTTTCTTTTGTGGGTTCACTTGCAGTATCTAGCTTCTTCTCAGCTTCCACATTTATGCTCTGCTTTTCTGGAGCAGCCATCACTTTGCCACTTCTAGTGGTGACAAACATACAATCCTCCTTTGGATTTGTGACTGTGTTACTAGGGAAATCACCTGGAGTTCTATCAGCAACTTGCTTGGCCAGCTGACCAATTTGATTCTCCAGATTTCTAATTGAAGCACTCATGTTTCTGGTATTAGCCCTAGTCTCTTCCATGAAAGCATTTGTATTTTTTGTATTGGCTCTAGTCTCCTCCATAAAATCATTGGAGTGTTGAGCCATTTGTCCAACTAATCTCTCCAAATCAGAAAGTTCCTTCTGTGGAATAAGAGGAGGTTGCAGAAAGTTGTTTGAGCTATAATCAAGACCACCTCCTTGACCTCTCCTCTGAAAATTACTTTTGCCAGGAGAACTCTGATTTCTTTAAAAATTTGTTGGGGCTTCTGCTCATACCAAACCCCATTCACTTGTAACTGCTGTGGATTATCACCCATTAGAGTGGGACACTCATTAGACTCATGAGCTTCCTTACAGTATTCACACACCGCAGAAGTTGATTGAACCTTGGACACTTGCATTTTCTCAAACTTCTCATTCAAGCTGTCAAACTTTTTGGACAACAGCTTTTGTTCAGCAAGCATAGCATCATTACTTTCCAGCTTCATTACTCATTTCCTTGCCTGAATTGGAAAGCTCTCATTCTCATTTCTTGCAAGTTTCTTGATTAAGTCAATGGCTTGCTCAGATGTACTCTGCCGAATAGAACCCACAGCTGCACTATTTATCACCAATCTTGTTTCAGGAGAGATGCCATTAAAGAAGATTGCTACCTTTCTGTCATCATCTCCCTCATAGTGCGGACACTTTCGGATAAGTTCCTGGAATCTCTTCCAGGCTGCTCACAGTGATTCTCCTTCAAAATGGCAGAAGTTTATGATCTCATTTACCAGCTGGTTGTACTTCTCCATAGAAAAGAATTCGGCAAAGAACTTTGTGGACAAGTCTTCCCATGTCATGATACTATTAGCTGGCTGCCTCTCTATCCATCTGAGAGCTTTTCCCTTAACAACAAAAGGGAATAATCGCAGCCTGATAGCATCGGCAGACACTCCATTGTGCTTGGTAGTGTCACAGATCATCAGAAATCGATCTATGAACTCATGAGGATCTTCCTCCTCAGCGCCCGAAAACTGAACCCTTTCCACCAAAGTAATCAGAGATGGCTTCAGCTCAAAATTGTTTGCCTCCACCGTCGGCCTGATTATACTTGAATTTGGCCTATTGCACACCGGAGTCAGAATGATGTCCAACAATCTTGGAGGTGGGTTGTTTGCATTGTTGTTACCCGCCATATATGGTAATTGTAGGTTGCCTTTCACAGATTTGAACCCCGAACCGTGAGCTCGGTTGGTTGCCCTTGGTCCCGGACCAAAAGGGATTGAGGCAAGTCTTTTGAAACCATGCATATGTACTTGTTGATTGCATGTGTTGGTGAATGGAAAATTAATTGGGAATGTCCTCTGTGTAGGCATTCTGTTTGTGTACCTAGCTCGGGAAATATATTGCATTGGAGCTGTGGGAGAGGATTGTACAGGTAACCTCGTGGTACTGGGGTTTGATCCCCTTGTGCGTTCCACCATGCCCGTTGAGGGTGATGGTAGGAAGTGTATGTAAATAATATAGGATAACATGTTCATGCATATTGTATGTGTGTTGGTACATAGGATGTACCGTGTCTCTGGCCAGTAGACTGTTTTCCTTCGGGCGTTACAGACTTCCACTAGATAGGTCTCCGTGAGGGAGTTCCAGTTGACCTGGGGTCGTGGTGTGTGATCCGGATAAGAGCACACTAGGAAGTCTCGGGTGGATATGGATGAAGGGTGTCTTGGTTTGATGTTTTGGGAACACGCCTTGGTTTGAAACCCATAGGCTTATATGCCGAGCTAATAGGCTGGACGTTGTGTGGTTTTGGCATTGACCATTCCAGCTTCGTCGTATTTTGTATCCCTATGCTCCCCTATTTCACTAAATCCCTTGCTTTATTCCGTTTTCAGATGTTATGTTATGTTATTTATATGCTTCGAAGTGAGCCATTGGGCAGAGTATTCTCCAGAACCTCTGGGTTACTGAGGTATATTCGTATATCTCACCCCGCTTTGGGGGCTTTATTTCAAGAGGTAGCAGTGGTGTTGGGGCGGCGGGCAAGAAGCCCGTATGATGTTTGGACGTAGGACTACCTATTTTGCATTTTGGTGGCCATTGGGCCTAGGCTAGACTTAGGTCATGAATAATGCATATGATTAGAATTATTGGTATCATTTTGTTCATGATGTATTTGTCTAAGTTTAGTCTTTGATTATCATGTTTATTTTGGAGCATTTATTATGTATAATTGAAGGAAAAATTGTAATACGTCATTTGGAGAAGTTGTAAATTTTATATGAAGACTTGATGTAATATGGAAGAATATGTATATGATGAAAGGGAAATAGGCCTATTCTAGGATTGATTTTTGTTTTATGTTGCAAGAAGCATGCAAATGAATATTGTGATTGAAATTGATTAACTTGAGAAAGTAAGCATAGACTATGTATTTTGAGCAAATTGGATATAAACTGTGAAGGGTTGTAAGAGCACCAAGGTATTGCTGGTCCTTGTGTGCCACCCAATGATTATTAGGTACAAATTGAGGTTTTAGAGCACTTTTGTAAATTTGGGAATTATCAGAAAATCAAAGGAAACTCTGACGAATTTTCTAGAAATTGGCAGAATTTAGGGGAACTTTAGGAGAGCATATCTCCCTCCACAGAGGTCTGATAGGGACATTCCTTACGCCGTTTTGAAGCTTGATATGTTCTCTATCTCATGTAAAATTTTGGATTTTTCCGGGTTAGGCGTCGTCCTGTAGAAGGCAGAGAACACGGACTGCTTATTTGGTTACTGCACATGTGGCAGATCTGGTGCGAGATTGGGAAAATTATTCCCGCTTCGTTTCTTGATAAAATTAGGTTTATGATATGTCAAATTGAAGCTTGGGGTGTCTAGTTCTTGTATAAAAATTTGAGAGGAATTGGTTGAGTGGATTTTCCAGAATAATTGATTGAGTGAAGGCTGTTTGGAGCCGTTTGGAGGTTGGCTGGCAGATTCGCTTGTCCAACTTCAAACGGCGATATCCGGAGCAAACGAGAACTTTATGAATCGTGTGATAGCTTCCTAGAAAGGTAATTAAGTGTAGAATAACATACTAAAATATGAGGAGCGTGCGTCATGCGGTTTGTCCGCAGAAAAATAAAGACCGAACCATGTTTGGATGGGTAGAAAACGTAAAAGTGAGATTTTAGCTAAGCGGGTTTATGGGAACCCCTTAGTGACTTGAGAGATGTAATTTATGTTATAAAAGTAGTTTAAATAATTATTCCGCAAAGAGTTTACAGTTACGGTCACAACTTTTATTATTACGCTTTTTATTGCTTTAAATGCTCGCATAATAAATGGAAAAAATTTACTCGGATTTTTATAAATGAATTGCTGTGATTGTAACTGCGCTTAATATCATAATTAATGTTAACAATACCGGTGTACAATGGGCTGTTACAATCCTCAATGATGCCATAAGCTTTCTTTGAAGAGCGGTCAGCCAATTGCACTATTGTTCTTGTGGGCTTCACGTCATTAATCCCCAGCTTCTTCATCATGGAGAGTGGCATGACATTGATGCTATCCAAGATCACATAAAACGTTGTCCACCTCCACTTTGCCTATAATGCTGAAGCTCCCTGGATCCTTGACTTTGGTGGGTAACTTCTTTTGGATGATAACATTACATTCATCTGTCAGATTTACCGTCTCACATTCTCGCAACTTACGCTTCCTTGATAACAGATCCTTCATGAACCTTGCATAGTTGGTCATGTTCTCTAGAGCTTCGGCAAAAGGAATATTGATTTGCAACCTCCTGAACATGTCTAGAAACTTTGAATACTGCTGCTTCTGAATCTCTTTCTTTAATCTCTGAGGATAAGGGATTCGAGCATCTGGGGAGAGATCTAAGGGCTTGTCTTGCCTTTTTAAAGCTTTCTTCTTCTCCCACTTAAATAATTTCCGTTCAAATTTTTCAGGATTGCTCTTGTCAACGTCAATAGTATCCTTTGCCTTTTCTTTATTCTCTTCTTCAACCGATGCCTCCGCATCTCTCTTCTTTTCTTCAGGCTGCTCCTCCATAGGCTGAATCACTGCCCCACTTCTTATGGTAATTGCATTGCAGTTCTCTATAGGATTAATGATAGTGTCTCCTGGGAAGGTACCCTTGGCTCTCTCAGCAAATTGCTTTGACAACTGGCCAATCTGGGTTTCCAGATTTCTTATGGAAGCTTCTTGATTCTGAAGTGCTAATCTGGTCTCTTGCATGAATTCTGATGTATCTTCCCTGAAAGCATTTGCACCTTGAATATAATCAGAAGTGGTCTTGGATAACTGTGCAAAAGCTTTCTCCCACTCAGAAGTGTTACTTTGTTGTGGGGGATGTGGTTGCACTGGAAGGGGATGATTGAGCTGATGGTTGGATTTGTAACTGAATCCTAGATGCTGATTCCAATTCTTCCACCCTTGACTGTAGTTATTTCCAAATTGGTTCATCCTCGGATCATTCTGGTTCTTCTGATTATACCAGAGTCCGTTTACTTCAACAATTTCAGGTGCTCTCATCAAATCACATTCTTCGGTAGCATGAGTACCTGCACATATACCACAAGTTACATGAGGATTATTAATAGAAGAAACTTGAGAATTAGAAAATTGCATTGTGAGAGCATCAAGTTGTGCTTGTTGTCTCTTGTTAATTTGTAATATTTGCTCGTTTTGGGCCAACAGTGCATCATAGCCGTCGAGCTTCATGATCCCCGCTCTCTTTTGAGTGACTGGAGCATTGTCGAACTCCTGACAAACTAAAGATTCCAGTAATTCCAACGCTTCCTCTGGAGTTTTTATTTTCAATAATCCCCCTGATGCAGCATTCACCAAGGTTCTTGTGTTAGACGTCATCCCTTGGAAGAAAATTCTCCCTTTTTCCCAGGCTTCAAAACCATGTGGTGGACATTTCCTTAGTAGTCATTTGAACCGTTCCCATGCCTCGTGCAAGGATTCACTTTCTTTTTGTTCAAAAGAAGTGATATCTGCTTTGAGCCTTGCCATCTTTGAAGCTGAGAAGAATATGGCCAAGAACTTGGTCGCCAAATCATCCCAGTTGGTGATGCTTCCTTGAGGCAGTGACTGCAACCACCCTTTTGCTTCAGTGAGCATGGGAAGAGTCTGAGCAAGATGGCATCACGTGAGACTCCATTCATCTTCAATGTATCACAATAGAGCAAGAAATTCTCTAGGTGACTGTAGGGGTCTTCTGTGCTTCCTCTAGCAAACTGCTCTTTTTGAATCAATTGTAGCGGCGCTGGCTTGAGCTCGAAGTTGTTAGCATCCACGGTTGGTCTAACAATGGTTTCCATCTGCGGAACTCGAGCTGAAGTCATATAATCCCCCAACGTTCTCGGAATAGGTGGGAGTTGATTGTTCTCTGCCATTATTTCCTCCTTTGGTTCCGTCAAACTTAATGCTTCTTTTGCTTCTCTTTCTTTTGCACTATTTCGGAGTTGTCTTTCTGTTTTTTCTATCTCGGGATCAAACTGCAAGATTTGTGGGTTAACAGTACCTCGCATAAACTAAGAATTAAAAGATGTGCAGAAAAACAGAAAAATGTAGAAACAGAAAACAGAAAATAAAAACAGAAACAGAATGCAAAAAAATTAATGAATGCAAAATATGCAGAAATTTTTTGCAGAAACTATTTTTTTTTTCAGAATTATTAAAGTGCACAAAATTAAAACGGCAAATCTAAACAGTTTTTAGTTACTTCTAATGTTGAAGGATCCAATCCCCGGCAACAGCGCCAAAAACTTGTTGCAACTTCGGCAAGTGTACCGGTAGTAGAAGTAATAAAGTTTACTGAGTACGAGATCGTTCCCACGAGGATTGGGTTTTCAAACACTAGTTCGCTAATCGCGGTTTAGTTGAACAATCAAGATTGAGATTAGGAGAGTTGAAATTGAAAACAACTAATAACATGTAAATAAAAATTCAGAATTAAAAAGAACAATTGAAAAGATGATTGATTGATTAAGAAATTAAAAACAAGCGTAGTTAGGGTTTCGACTTCCCCCAATCTGCTCTATATGCTATGTATTAAACTGTAAGAATGTGCTCTTAATATAATTCCAATCAATTCTTTCTAAGTTAATTAGAGCTCAATTCCTTGTTACCCTAAATCTATGTGATCTTGAAAGAACTCTAGTTCCCCGATTATTCCCTAAGAAAACATGCATTAAGATCAAGAATTCAAAGATTGCACAATTACCCTATGTCTATCCCTAGATCACAAGGATCGTGATAAATTTACCAAGTTAGGGTTCATGCACCAACATCCCTATTGTCATACAATTCCCCAAAATCAATCTATAAGGAGCAAACTCATAGAAAGCATTAAAGACAGATAAATTTATTCAAATATAAAAAGAAAAGAATTCGGAGACAATTTAATTCAAAGCATACGATTCAATTGGGTTCCATCTACCCCTAACTACATAAAAATCTAGTATAGCATACTAAATTGAAAAGCAATAAGAAAGAAAAGAGTCCCCCAAGCCTCCATTGGTGTGATGTTGACTTGGTTCCTCAGTGCTCCAATGCTCCGCAACAGGATTCCTCCTTGTTCTTCTTCAGACGCCTCTTCGTTGTTGAATGAATGCCCCTTCAATTGATCCCAAGGCCTTTTATTTATAGAGGAGAACATATCTTTTTAATTTTCTAAAGAATCTTATGAAATCTCAAATCATATCTTCAATTGGATGATTTTATAAATTGAATTTGAATTGCATCACAGCTAGACATTCAAATGTTGATAATCGCGTTCAAATGTTGATCAACGCATTTTTCCACTTTTACATGGCATTATAATGTTAGAGTTGACATTTAAACGCACTCCTTCTTTCATGCTAGCGCGTTCAAATGTTGAATAACATTTGAACGCACTCCTGGATGTCAATTTTCTTTCTGATAGGGCGTTTGATTGTTGTAATCAACATTTGAACGCGCTCCTGGATGAAAAGTTCCTTTTTGATAGCGCGTTCGAATGCTGGATTCAACATTTGAACGCACGTCCTTTCTTTTTCTTCACATTTGAACGCCCTTCTCAACATTAAAACGTGCTTAAACAGAAGCTTTTTCTTCATGTTTTAACACTTTAATGTTGATCTCTGACATTTGAATGTTCTCATCCAGAAACTTTCTTTATATTTGCTCAGTAGTTAGCACATTTTAACGTGTTAAATAACATTTGAACGTGCTTCATCACTGTAGATTTAACTTCTTGGATGAACATTGATCTTCCCATTCCAACTTCAATCTTTAAATCCATTCTTTCTCAAATTTGTATTAATTTTCCTTCAAAACCAATAAGAACAAGATATGTTAGATAGAAATCCAATTTCCATGATTTTTAATATAAAACCTAAGTATTCATGCTTTTGACTATATGATTCATGCAATATTAGCCCTATAAACATGATAAACTAAAGGTTTATCAATGGTATAATGTGTTGATATATATATGCGGATGTGATTAGGGTGTCCTATATAACACCTCACATTTCTAAAACATGTAATTATAAATTGAATGTGGATTAAAGGGTAGGATTAGTGAAAATCCTGAAATTAAGGCCAAAATACAAAGGAAGGGTAAAACGGTAATTAGCCAAACACGCAACCCTAGGAAAGAAAAATTGAGTAGGAAGTTTCATGATAAAAAGAACCCTAGAAATGGATTCAGAACGAAAAATTGAGTTGTTAGGCAAGTTTCAGAAAATTCAGTGAATAGTGTTTTACCGGGTAAAAATACTGCGGTACAGTTGCACCGTAAAGCGTGCCGATTGAATTTTGAGCTCTAGGTTTTGAATACAAGTTGTGAATGGTATATAGGACTAGGAAATATGATTTCTGATGAAAATTGATGGAAATTAGTAATTTTGGATAAGAGTGTCTACGACGCGCGTAACAACTTAAAACTGCATTTTCTCCGAACGACCGGAAAACTCCAGATTCATCTGATTAAGGGTAATTAAAGGACAATTGTTAATGTTAAAAATTAGAGTTTCTAAATAGGTTAGGAGATTATGGACGTTTATAGAATCGAAGGGAAATTCGAATTAGTTTGAGATCGCGTGAGGTGGCGGTGAGACCCACCTCACTTAAGTCACTTAAGCCACATGTCCCTATCACCATTCATCATCACCTTCTCTCATCCCTTCCATCAAGAACCCGCGGCCTTCCTCCCTCCCACCTCCATTTTTCTTCGAAATTTCATTCTCCTCTAAATCACTCAAAACTCAACCAAATCAAGCAAAGTTTGTCTTGAAATTTGTTGGAAATCACCTCCCAAACACATTGGTGGTAGCCTTGAGCCATGAAACCTACTAGATTTTGAGAAATCCCTCCCCCAAACCCGTGACCTAGGTGTGAAGATTTACACTCATGTAATTGTTTGATGCACCAATGGTTTAGTATGATGTGGAGGAGTCCTAGGCCAAGCTACTGAGTAAGTTTCATCACATTTTATTGGTTGGATTGGTTGATTTAATTCATGAGCCCTAGACTTTGTTTGTATGATTGATGTTGTTAGAGAGCTCAAATAAAAATTGTGTATTAGATAAATATGCCTTAGAATGATGTGTTGGAGCCATAAAGCAATAAAAATTACTGGTCAAAATTTATGATAACTTAGTGGAAATTTTGGATGATGCCATGAACTTGTGAAATTTGATTGGTTTTAGGATTGTGCAATTGAGTTGTGGTATGGTTGTATGAGTTAATAATAGGATTGTATGAGGTGTGGAGTAGTTGAATTGGATTGAACAATCTTTGGTGTATGCCTATGTGCAATTCGACCATAATGAGTAAAATGAGGACATAATGTTGTTAAATTGTATGGTTGATATGTTGTGTTGTTAAATGGTGATTAGAAGCGTTGTCTGATGATTGGATGTGTTGAAAATCAAAGGAAAATGTGATTGGTTGTGTAGAAATGGAAATTGAACCTAGAGTGAAATTAATGGCAAAATGAGGTCGTGATGATGTTGAATGCAAATTGGCACCTAAAATGACATTGGGGTAGCCTTAGGATGCTTAAGAAAAATGAAAAGAAAATTTAGAAAAATAAATTATGTTTTAACACATGAATGGCCGAACCTCACTTGTGGGTGGACAAAAAATTGTCATTTTGTGACTTTGATGGATTCACCATATATTAATGATCCGTATATGATCAATGTAGTTTGCCTCCCGCGGATTTAAACCTTGAACCGTGAGCTCGGTTGGTTGTCCTTGGTCTCGGACCAAAAGGGATTGAGGTAAGTCTATTGGAACCATGCATATGTATTGGATGAATTGCATGTGTTGGTGAATGGAAAATTAATTGGGAAAGTCCTATGTGTAGGCATTCTGTTTGTGTACCTAGCTCGGGAAATATACTACATTGGAGCTGTGGGAGAGGATTATACAGGTAATCCCTTGGTAGTGGGGTTTGATCCCCTTGTGTGTTCCACCATGCCCGTTGAGGGTGATAGTAGGAAATGTATGTAAATAATATAGGATAACATGTTCATGCATATTGTATGTGTGTTGGTACATAGGATGCACCATGTCTCTGGCCAGTAGACTGTTTGCCTTCGGGCGTTACGGACTTCCACTGGATAGGTCTCCGTGAGGGAGTTCCAGTTGACCTGGGGTCGTGGTGTGTGATCCGATTAGGAGCACACTAGGAAGTCTCGGGTGGATATGGATGGAGGGTTCCTTGGTTGATATTCTGGGAACACGCCTTGGTTTGAAACCTGTAGGCTTATATGCCGAGCCAATAGGCTGGATGTTGCGTGGTTTTGACATCGACCATTCCAGCTTCGTCGTATTTTGTATCCCTATGCTCCCCTATTTCACTAAATCCC